CCTTTGTCGTGGACAGTGGCGAAATCTTGGTCGTCTGCTAAACAGATTCAAGCCATGTCTTCCAATCTGGTGGCTCCACGTGGAGGCGAGCCGACCGGGTTGGCTTTCCGGTTTATATTATGAACACGGCGTTTGGTGTTTGTGATGTGGGCTTTGGTGGCGGCGATACCTTGTCAAGAACGGACTGGCTGGCCACTCATTTTCCGGTGCCAAGACAATTAGGGTGGGCCCCAAGCGATTATTGGGTTTACAGGAGAAGATAGGAGAGGAGTGGAAGAAGAAGGAGAAGAAAGGGACAGCCGGGTGTTGGAGGAGATGCAGAGGATGGAGAAGGTGGCCCAGTGGCTGGTGGATTTTGCGGAGGCATTTCAGTATCCGATAGAGGAGGAGAAGGTGGACGAGGTGGCAGTGCAGGTGGCCGAATTGGCGGAGATTTGTCGTAAGATGGAGGAAGGTTTGGTGCCACTCCAACAACAGGTTAGGGAGGTGTTTCATAGGATTGTGAGGAGCAGGGCTGAGGTTCTCGATGTAATTGACCAAGTTGGTAAGTCATCAGCACCGGTTCCGTATTGAGACCTTGAGAGAGGCATAAGAATCGAAATTCCATATATAGCTCCGCCCGACCAACTACCACTGGTCTTTGGCCGGAGGGGGTTTATTACACAAAAACACAAGGACGCAGGCTCCTAAAGAGGAAGTCCAACCGATGTCAGATGCAAAAAAAAAAAAAAAAAAATTCTGTACATTTTGAGTCTTGTTGTAGATCAACGGGTCTGAATTTTTTTGTTTATTTTTTGGTTACTATTATCAAAATTTTTCTCCCCAATTTTTGAGAGCAGATTCAATTCTCTGAGAAGTAATGATTTTTGCTGCCTCGGAATTTGTGAGGAAAATGTTATGGTCTCAGGTGAAATGTATCTCTGGGTATGTCTAGAACAACACCTTGTTGGCCTTTTTATCGGGTATAGCTTAGGCTGTCTCTGAGAAGCATTTGATCAATGGTTTTCCTTATCTTTTTTTTTTTTTTTTTTATAGTGGTGAGATGGCTTTTTATTATGTGTGTTAGTTGTTTTATGCTCGTGTTACTTGAAACTAAAAATGATTCATGTACAAGAAATAAGATTTATCACCCTTATGATTTCACATAGTTTAAAATTCATCGCTCTTTGATATCATCTTTTTATGTCTAATGTAAAATGAGTAAGCTCTATCCATTTATTCATAATCACTTTACCCGATCACTTAACCTATTGCCAACTGCACTTATGTTCCATAAATGTTCCGCACATCTGCATATTACTCTTTGCATAATTGAACTTGTCGAATAGTTTAGAAGAGAAAGCATCATGCTTAACTAAGTCGAAGGAGTAGGGACTAGGAACTCATGTACAAGGTTAACTTTGATACTGGCAGTGGGGAATAAGAAATCATGTACTGCAGCAATAGCCAGATTTCATAATGGATCAGCTATAGGAACCAAACTTCAGATCGTAGCAGAAGTAGCCCCACTCATAATTGAAGCTCTAGCTTCAAGGCAAGTGTGGAATGGACTCATAACAAACAATGGCCTTATGTGCTCATAGAAGGAGACTTTCTTATAATTATTCACTCCATCGTGCTCCTTTATGTCAAACCTTACTAGTATGTGCTCTCAATTTCACAAGACAGTAAAGACATACTTTAACATTCTCCGGAATGGAAATTTGTATATACACACAAGGATGCAAATAGTATAGCTCATGAATTAGCAAGATGGGGGCTTGCTATTGTTTATACTAGTTCAGTTCAACCGGACCAACTGCCAAATTCAACAAAAGCTCAAGTGGAATTGGATATACATCTTCCCCCTAGGCTATATTAGGATGCATTTAATTCTGTCTTTAATTCACTTACTCTTGAATATTATTTTTAATTATAAAAAAAAAAAAAAAACTCGATTTGAAGTTTGAGTCTTGCAAAATAACTAAAATAAGTTTTTGATTTGTGGGTGATTATCATATATCATACATACTTTATACTTGATTAGGTGAACTTCCTAGTTATTTAAATAGTACGGAATTGAACCCAATTTTTTATTTAGGAGACCCGACCTAACCTAAGTTGAATGCCCTTTTCATCAGGCCCAGATGTACAACTCGGGCAAGTTGAGTTAAGAGGTTGACCTAAACTCAACCCAGTATATGAAGCTTTCAACATAAGACCAACCCAAATAACTTATAATCCAAACTCACATGAACTTTTGAATTGTGGTTGAAATTGAGTTACATACTTTGGATCATAAAAGTCTCTCATCAATCAAAATCAAATTGGATCAATCTTATACTCCAATCCAAATATTATCTGAATTTTTAGACTTGGGTTAACCTTCCCAAGTTACACCCTAGTTAAGCCCCAAAATTCAACAAAATAAAAAAGGCCCAAAAACGACGCCGTAATGTATTAGATTGTAGCAGACCGTTTGGCACTGCCAAGAGCAGCCAACACCTCCCAGAATGATCAGTAGCGCCTCCCATGGCGGACTGGTTCATTATTCTTATCTCTCAAAGTTCATCGTTTCCAAAGGTCATATGACCCTTCAAGTTCCCGTAGAGCCAACCAAAGCAAAAATCAATTAATAATCAGATTTCTGATTTTTTATTACATTAAAATTAAGATAATTTATCACAACAGCTCTTCATATCAATGTCTTCAGGTCTCTCTATCTCTCTCTCTCTCTTTCTCTGTACTGTTCTCAGGCTTTGTCATCTGATCCTAATTCATTTCTTATCTATTATTTTCATAATCTACAGCGCGTAGATTAATGGCGACTATGTCGAACAATTGGTCACTGAAGAACGGACTTTCACTTTGGTGTCCTCAGTCTACTTCTCTGAATCGACTCCCTCGACAGTCCTCAGTCCCTTCCAGAAGCTTCCGAAGAAGCTACACCGTTTTGTCGTCATCTTTTGCCAACGAGAATCGAGAGTAGATCACTTTTTTCAATAAAAATTTCCCCATATAAACTTCTTGTACGGGTTCATTTTGGGTAATTCAGAATTTTGCATTTGGGCATTGCAGATATGTGATAGTTGGTGGAGGAAATGCAGCTGGATACGCGGCTCGGACTTTTGTCGAACATGGAATGGCCAATGGAAAGCTTTGCATTGTGTCCAAAGAGGTGTTTTTTTTTTTTCTGTTCTTGCTATTGATATGCATTTCTTCATTTGATTAATTGATGCTGAAAATGGTGAATTGTATGTATATATCTTATGCATGTACCTATGTTTTGAATGTATATTTATCCTTTGGAGCATGCTTTGCGAATAGGATTCTTAACCATATACCATTTCACAAGGATGTGGCAATGTCACACCTGAAAATGAAAATTAGATCCGCTTTAATGGTCCTTGATGTTCAAATGATTTAGATGGTGATGGCTCGTGTTAGTGTTATATGTGGGATTATAGTTCAAATTCTGTTTGTAGAGGTTGTCTTTTAACTGCACTTTGTCTACTAATGCAGGCATATGCGCCATATGAACGCCCAGCTTTGACAAAAGGTTATTTGTTCCCATCAGATAAAAAGCCAGCACGGTTACCTGTAAGCTCAATTCCTTTGACAGTTTTATTTGAATTATAAAGCATAGCTTTGAATGAACTCGATTTATGCATTTTATTCACTGCCTCTCTCAATCAACATGTTTCCCACTCTTTAGCCATGATTTTGTGCATTTGTGCCTTTGATTTTTTGAATTAGGATGATATGTAATCACATGCTTTCAGATCCTATGAATGGTGATCACCTTGTTTCGGTTCCATCTATCTTTGTTTGTACTGATTTTTCATGCTAGCTTTTGTTATTAATAAATAGTTTAATATTACTTCAGGGATTCCATACTTGTGTCGGCTCAGGTGGGGAGAGACAAACTTCCGAGTGGTATAAGGAGCAAGGGATAGAGGTAATCTTAATTCTTTTTATATTTCTTTTATTGTGCCTTGCTTTCTTTATTTCGGGAGGGATGATCAATTCCCTTAATATCAATTGGAACTTGAAACCTTGGACTCCCCCGTTTGCTAGAACCGGCGAGAACGAGAAACATATTGTCTATACTAAGGGTAATTGATCCTTATCGAGAAATGAAAGCTCAAAGACGAGTTGAACTCTTCTCTTTCAAAGAATTGTTGCATCTTTCCCACTCCCGTTGGTTGTCATATACAAAAAAGTTTGTGAAATTCGTACATATCAGTTGGAATTGACATGACAGTATGCATTTTTGTCTTGATCAATGCTTCAGGGATCATGTTCCTTTTGGTTTTCTTCTTTTTCCCCTCCCCCAGACACCTTGCAGACACATCTTACTGTCATTTAAATACTATTTATGAAGCCTTTCCAATTCTGTGTAGATGCTGTATGAAGATCCAGTGACAGGTATTGATATTGAAAAGCAAACTTTGACAACAAATTCTGGAAAGCTGCTCAAGTATGGTACACTTATAATTTCTACAGGATGTACAGCCTCAAGGTACAGTTATTTATCTCAATAGTTATGAATAGCTATGCTGTCTTGAGAAATAGTTTTCCGAGCTTCCTGCTCAATTCTTTATTTGAATTGTTTAAATAAGTGACTGGACACCGATCCCTTTGTGCCGTTTACAAACTTCTTATCATTATTATGAACATCGAAGTGTATGTCTATTCTTCGTCAGTTCACATGCTCATAAAAACCACGAATACTTGAATCTCTTCGGTCAGATTTCCAGAGAAAATTGGAGGAAAGTTACTAGGCGTTCACTATATCCGGGATGTTGCAGATGCTGATTCACTTATAGCATCACTGGTTAGTTAGTTTATTTGCTTCAATTAGATTCTGACTACTTGACTTTCATGAAACAAGTGTGTTTGGTTTGAAATTATGCTAAAAGAGTGGAGTTACAGGAAAAAGATATGGTTGTAACATAACAGTCATTTATTTTCTAGGAGAAAGCACGAAAGGTGGTCGTGGTTGGTGGTGGTTATATTGGCATGGAGGTTGCAGCAGCTGCTGTGGGTTGGAAACTTGATACTACTGTAAGTGTTTTAAAGCATTTTTATTTTTTATTCTTCTATGATGACTGTGTACAAGTATATGTTCTTTTCCTTTTGGTTTGGACCACACATATATCTAGTAATACTCCCTCCATTCCTAAACATCTATCGTTTAACTTTTTTGCACAGGGATTAAGGAAGTTATTAAATAGCTCTAATATGAGTAAAAAATAATTGCACAAGACTAAAATACCCTTATTCAATACGTATTGAGAAAGAAAGGAATATGAAAGGCACTTAGCCTCCACCTAATCTAATGCATTGAAAAGTTAAGGGTAAATTTGAAAGAAAAAATATTAATTATGCTTTGGTTTCATTAAATGACAGATATTATGGAACAAAAAAAATTGTGTAAAACAACATATATTTAGGAACGGAGGGAGTAGTTCACAATTCTTTGGACACTTCCTTTGAAATATTTGGTATAAACAAAACATGCGCCTAAAAAATTCATTGGCAATTCCATAATATAATTGTTAAATTGTTTTTTTTTTTTAAATCATTGACTT